AAGCCTTAATGATTGCATCATCTTTATTTAATAAGGATGTGTGAAATATTTTGTAGGCATCCATTTGAGTCTCAACAGCTAAGATATCCACTATTGTATTTTAATGGTGCACTATGAGTGCATAGAAAACAATTGTAGCTAACAATTATGGAAGCAAACGTGGTAAGGTACTAAGAAGATTTTCCTAAAGCTCGTCACCAGATGAGCTAGATGAAAAGCTCTTTTCAAGAGCTTCCCGTATTGCATTCATTGTTCTCTGTCTGCTTTGCTCTTTAAGATGACGGGTGAATGCTTTGAAGTCAAGGTATCTTGTGCCAGGTACTAATGCTTTAAAAGTTTGATCTTCATAGGGGCCCAAGTAATTGGAACATCCTTGTAAAGCACTGTGTTGATCACTGGGAAAAGAAAGAGGTATCAGTAATAAAATCACTCCATATTAAAGAAAACTATGAGATTCATCATACCGTAATTGCTGGCAGTTTGACCTATTAGTCAATATGCAGCGACTTGCTGATTCACTAATTTTCTGAGCAAAGTTTTGGATTTCATTCATTTCAGTGGCCATAGATTCATTACCAGAAAGAATGTCAGCGTTCGCTTCAAGAGCCTTTTTCAAATTAGTTTGTAAAAATGACTGGAGGAAAAAATGAGAGAAGCAGAATGAAGCCCATGCTAGAAGGGTTAAAGCAGAACTATACAGGCCAACTGGCTTACCTTGTAGTATTCTGATTTTGAAGAGTGCTTATTTTTCCGAACAGCAGACACTGTCTCATCTGCAAATTTAGAACCTAGTAAAAAAGTTCAAAAAATTAGCAGTTTTAAAATTACATTTCCCAATTAAATTATGCATCTTTAATATTCACCTCCATCACTTCCAGAAGTGACTTCAAATCCACTATCACCTAGTATATCTTTACCCTTGGAATCAAAGTATGTCTTCACACCTTTCACATCCTTGTATGATTCTGATTGATTACTATTATTAAAAATATGCTTGAAAGGAGTTTTTTCACTTTTCACAGTCGTCGTATTCTTATCAAATACAGTACATGATTTGGGTTTCTCCTTGGCAAACTCAGACATATCAGACTGCTTCTTTGTTTTACAGCTTTCTGTCTGAATAGGAGATACCTTTACTTTTTCTTCCATACCAGCCTTCACCTCAAAACTATCGTCAACTACTGGGCTGAAGTAGTGATTGCTTGACCCAACCAATTCTGAATTGTTCGTTGGTGATGTGCAGGAAACCTTAATTTTGCCATTACCAGTTGGATTCAAAGATAGGTCTTTAGTATACTTCATTTTTTTCTTTTCCTTCTTTTCAGTTTCAGTAGGCTGAAGACAATTATTGATTCTACTTAATGGAGGCTTGCCAGGATTTTTATTTATTTTTATGGACTGACGTATTGTTTTGCAGTTTTCCTTGTTTGCCAAAATATCAGACCTTTTATTCTTGGAAGATTTTTGTGTTTTAACTTGTTGACAAGCAGAGGGCCCCGTTTTTGAACGAGTCTTCCTGCTGGTAGCTGGAACTCTTGGAGTTTTGAATGGAGCTGGTGTTACAGAAGCATTGAAGCAATAAATATCTTTACGTTTTTGTTTCTCTGCAATTCTGTTCTGTTCTAATTCTCTCAGTTTCTTTTCCCACATATTCATTGGTTGGGTAACACTGTATTCAGTATTACCCGATGAATTGTCTTTCTTTCTCTTTACTGGAGGCGACATATTTCCTGTATTAGTTACATCTGTTTTAAAATCCACTGTCCTTTGCCCAGGCCTTGTCTTTTCCAGATAATTTTCACCATTTTTCTTAGATGGAGATTTTACATTAGTTTTAGTATGGCTAATATTTGAAGTAAAGGACACCATAGGTGGACTGTGGTATACTCTTTGAGGTGCAGGCCGTTCTTGAGAGACAGTCTCCCTGACACCACTGACTTTATGATTGTAGCTATCTATCTTATCATCATCGGAAGATATTACCACAGTGTCAAAGTCCTCACTATGATTTGTATCATGGTATGACAACCACTTTTCAACTTTTGAACTATGATCTTCGCTACTCAAGTTAGAAAGAGAGCACCTTTGAACTGGGACATCCTTTTCAATTTCCTTTGATTTAGGTTCAGATTGTAATGCCTTTTTTCCGACATAACGGGTCTTTTTCACTGGAACATAGATTTCAGTTACAAAATTGTATGATTTTCAGTATTTTCAGACTAGCTTTGTGATAGAAACAAACCTTTTGGTTCTGGTGTATTATTTAGATCCTCTTCCTTTTGTGTGTTTGGGCCTTGTAAAAACTTCAATTCACTATTCCTCTCAAAATGTTCAGCTTGTTTGCTACTGACTGAGTTGTTCTGATCTTTTTTGATTTTGTTTCGCAAGGATAGACTTTTGCGACTGTCTGGGTAATAAGGTGTCTGGAAAACCTTTGGTTTTGATTGTTTCTGTAATCCTACCGTTGGTGTCACACTTGGTGTATTGGCTGCATTACAAGTAAAGGGCACTTTAAATGGCATTCCATCTTGAATGCTAGCAGTCTGAGTTTCCAGTTTCTTAGAGGAGATATCTGTCCAAAAAGTCAGGTGTTAATAGATTCAGAAAATACCCAACATACAAAGAAATTATTAAGATGGATAACATAAAGTATTCAACTCCTCAAAATGGATCTATAATTAATATTACTTCAGTATTATGGTCTAAAATTAATATAAAAGCAAACCTTTTGGATTTTGATCTGGATTTCCTCTATTTGTGGTTTCTGAAAAAATCAGTCGACCACTTTTCTGGAATTGTTCAGTTTGTTTGCCTCTGACTGGTTTGCTTGGATCCACACGCAAAGACGGACTATTGCAACTGTTAAGGTAATAGGATGTTTGCTGGAATGGTTTTCCTTTGGAACTTTTCTGTGATTCATTGAGGGATGTAGCTGGTGTCGTACTTTGCATCTTTGCTACATTTGAGGTAGGAAAAGATACCTTATGTGGCTTCTTAATGTTATTAATAGCAGTTGCAGTTTCCAGTTTCTTGGCAGAGATAGCTGCAGAAGATAGTTTAACTCACTTACAGCCTAAGGGAAAACAAGTAAAAACCCAATGCCTGCTACAGGTTGAAACAAGGTTTTCAGCTTACTTGTATTGGACTCAACCAAACCAGCAGAATGCCTTGGTTTGGTGTTGTTGTGTGTATATCCTGTAGAGAGAGTCAACGAACAGGAACTAATTGGAGTCTGTTTCATCTGTTTCAAGATAAAGACAGACAGTTAGTTCTCTTTTAAAAAAATGAAAAGAGAAAGCAAAAGAAAAATTGATCCACAAAACTATAGAACTTACATCAGAAGCTTTTTTCAATTTATGAAGTGAATTAAGAAACATTCCACAACCCTAAAATTGAAATAAGAGCAGAATTTTTGAATATTTGACAGATAGCCTGAAATAATGATCAGTAGTACAACATACCTTTGAAAACTCTAAGGAGTAGCTTTCAATGAATGTATCACGAACAGATGGCCATTTGCTGAACCAAGTTGAAGCCTTAATGATTGCATCATCTTTATTTAATAAGGATGTGTGAAATATTTTGTAGGCATCCATTTGAGTCTCAACAGCTAAGATATCCACTATTTTTCCTAAACAAACCCTATGATAAAAAAAGAAGTTAGCTCGGCAGGATTGCACCAGGGCAAACACAAAACTTGTATGACACTTTGTTTAAACCTAGTATGAAACAGTTATTGCAGTACTCACAAATAAACTTGTAGATTTGAAAATGTTTTCACGATCTCATGTGCCTTTGCATATTTACACAAAAAACTTAAGGCTTGTAGAAGAACAGCTCTCATTTCACTATCCAAATTTTTAGAAATTAGGACAGCCATTAGACCTTTACTGCACCTGTTGAATAATTCTGTGCTCAAATCTGCACTTTTGTCTGCAAAATACTGAAATTGAGGAAAAACAAAGACATTTATTAATTATAAGGAGCTTGCTCACAATACAGAGATTACAGCAGACAATCACCCACATATATGACATAGCAAAGCTTTGTAAAATTTCTTGATAAGTCATCAAAGTTTGATGTGTTTTGTTTATGGTCACGTCGCTTGACTTCTATGAAATAGGCAAGGCATTCGGAAACAAGTTGAGCTAATTCTTTAGAAAATTGATGCCAGGGATCTTGAACCTTCAAAGAAATTAATGTAAAACGTATCAGGAAAAAAATGATCAAAATTGTGCACAGTAATTTTAAATCATTGCTTACTTGGTGGTTTGTAGAGAATTCTTCAAGGCACATGACTATGCAACTTACGCAAGTGCTCATCTGTTGAAAAGAATGATGTCGTATTAAATCAATCTCACATTGTATCCCTAAATATGCACTCTTGTATCAAATACTCACATCAGTACAGTTTCGTAACTTTTCTCTCAAATTTGCCACAACATCTGCACTTAGTATTGACTTAGGCACTGCTCGAGGTCCCTGCAATTTCTTGGTCCGAAAGTAATCTTGAATTAAAGGAGTTTCAGCATTTTGTGTAAGAATAATAGAATGAAGGGCTGGGGTTGCCATTTTCAATTGAGATGAAGCACCCCGTATTGAAGCTTTAACCTATCGAAAATTAAACGACACATTTTGAAGTTAAGTTCCATCCCAACCCCCCTATAACAAGACCAGATGCATTGAATAACGTGAGCAAGGTACATCTATCATACTCACCATATTTCTTGTCAGTGATAGGAACGGTTGAGAAAAGGCACACTAATATCGGCTTCGCGATGCAAACACATTCATTATTTCATCCGTCGGAAGTCCAAATGTGTGATTCTGTAGGCTATGAAGGTACAACGCCAATCTATCCATCAGAACCCAACGGTCAACCGCCGATTTTGTCGTGGACTTGTTTCAAGTTCAAAATTCCGAAATATGGAGTACTTCCGTGCGTGTCCAACAGTCCTATACTAGGGGAAAATATGTGTGTATTTTCGCTACGGGAATACGATTGTTTTGTGGGAAGTTTTACAGCCTACAGGTCCGGAACATCTGTAAAAAGGTGTGACAGTTCCGAATATTTCATTTATTTATTCATCTCCGTTAATTTTGGGCACGATTTAGTTCCTTACGTTGGTGGCATTGATACCAACCAAATTTTATGCGCGTCAAACGACGGCAAACAACGTAAGAAGTAGCCGAATGCGAG